TGGTTCCAATCTTTGCTTCTGAAAAAGGGGGAGATCCCCAAGTCTTGCCCACATCTAGTCAGCTGTGCCCCAAGAATGGTGAGATTCAGTGGAAGTAACGCCTTCAACCACCTAAAAGCAATTCACAGAAACTCTGCAGCAGGAGATTTGGTTATGAATCGTTGTTTCAATGTGGAGCAGCACTCTGAGAGTAATGTTTACACTTAAATTTATATGATGCAATTGAGGTGAATGTTCCTGTGGGATTTAAAACTTTCTGAGCTTCGTAATGGCCATAATGTAGAACTCAAGCATTGTGCAAATAAAAAAAAATTGCAGTTAATGGTGTGTCTGAGAAATAAAACACACACGCATATTTTACATTCATGGCATCTGAAGAGAATGAGTTGCTTTTCCAATGTAGAGTGCAATGTAAAAGGAAAAATACGTATTTAGAGCATTAATTGTTTGGATGTGATCATATGTACATGAAGTCATACATTCACAGTTCAGCTGTGTTTGTTTCAACGTGCAAGGCTCCAGACCTTATATCTGACATATTGACGGTTGTATGTTAAGATGCCTGGCAGCTGTATACATTCAAACGTGCCGTGCTTGAGGCAGACAAGATCTGCATGGGGGATGAACATGGAGGGTCTGAGGGCTGTGCTTCCTGCTGGGACAAGGAGAATCAAGGCGCTGTTGCCAAGCCTGGGGTTTCACAGAGTTTCATCACACTTGATGTCTGCCCCAATTCTGCAGCTGCTGAAATCCGGTCCGGCAGAATGCCAGACTTTGTTTAAAAAAATAAATAATCTAGCCTTTGTCATTCCGGAGAAAATTGAAAACATGAATCTTAATTGAATCCTCACATTATTTTTCATTTCCAGTTTATAAACCAGTCTCAGATTGGCTGTGTTTAGATACAGTGTGGGAGTTGTGTGATGTGTAAGTTTAGATTGCATGGGTTTGGTGATAGTGGTGAGGTCTTCATTTTGCCCCACCTTTTTCTCCCTACACATGTTCAATACATGCATTTCTAGTATCCAGCAGTCTGGTCAAGGATGTTGTAACTTGCTTGTAGGATGGTTGGGAAAGTGGAGAAAGGAATGACGCACTTACCATGCTGTATCATAAACTCTCTCTGGAGGGAGAGAGATTTTTTTTTTTTTTGGTGTCAAGTAAAATACATTACTCCCATATTCTTGTAAATTCGCTGTTTCATATTCAAGATTTTTTTTTTTCCCCACTAAACTTGGCAAAGTCCCTGACCTTCGTTGCAGATGATGTACATGCCAACTTTCTGAAACAGGACAGCGTTAAGTTACTGAAATGCCGAAAAGTGTCACAACCAGTTTAACGTGTGATCAACACTATGTTCCTGTTCTTGGATAACCAAGTTTCTTTAGCCCTTCCGGAAAAAGAAAAAAAAAGAAAAAAAAAGAAAAAGAAAAATTCTGCACGTAAAAAAAAGAAAAAGAAAAAAAAAGACTTTCATAGGCTGAGAAACATTAAAAAAAATCCATTGAGAAACATTAGTGTGTGTGAAAGGGCAGGAATGTGAGGTCTTTGCTAGCTGGAAGCGCTCATATTGGTAATGATGAAAATAGCAAACAGCGTCGGAGCAGTTATAGCAGCAATACAGGCCTGTTCCCGTCTGGCTTCTCAGGTGATTTTCTAAAATGGGTATTTTGAGTATGTTTCAGTCTCTGCATAATCTGAAGTTATTAAAGGTCAAAGCTGTATTCATTTCAATACATATTCTTTTTCTAGAGGAAGGCTGGGTTAATTTGTTTTTTTAATGGCTTTAACCTTTGTGACGGTTGTAGGATGTTCCTCCACAAATTCCAGATGTCTCCAAGGGAGGCTGCATGCAATTTAGCAAGATAACAAAATACAAGTCTTGGGCATAGTTAGTTACCAGCTGAGGACCGTGAACTGTTGCACTTCTCCAGGCCCTGCAAGTCGTTTGGCTTTTACCTTCTCTGTGATGGTCTCTCAGCTTCCCCTAATATTTGCCCAGGCCCTTCTGACTGAGACTGGAGAACGGGGGTTTAGGCTCCGAGAACTGTATTTCCGCCCACTGCTTCTCTTTCGAAAGCTGAAGGAAAGACCCACACGCCGTCCTGAAAAATGGTCTGCTAAAAACCAGCTGAAAGTCAACTATATGCAGCAGTTATGCTGCCCCCAATTAAGAAATCCTAGGGCTGAGCTTCCCAGGTTTATAGAAAAGAGAAAATGTTACACAGCTGTGCAGTAGGCTTCCTCCCGCCCGCGCTGTGCGCCATGTCTGCCTCAGGCCCTTGACCTGCGAGGACGTTCCTGCCCCGGGTGGTGGTGCTGAGACTCCTTTATCTCCGTGGGGCTGAGCAGGGGGGCTCCATATTTATGCCCAGGGCTCACGGTGGGACTCCTATGGGGTCCCCAAAAACAGGAGGTTGCCGCCTTCTCGTTTCTCCGTTTGCCCAGCATTCCCAGCTCAAAGGCAAGCACCAGCCCCTTTCACTTGCCTTTCTCAAGATTAATTCGGGTGAGGACCGCAATGATAGTATAGGACTATCTTTTTCAGTTGTTCTTTCCACAAAATGAATGGTTCCTGACCGAACGTGCCATGATTGTTGGTGTCTGAGACAAGTTAGGGGGAGATGCTCTCGCTATTTCCCAGCTCTCTGAATCTGTGCTGCTTCGAAAGCTGTGCCACAGGGACAGCCCATTAACAGTGCTGTTTCCTGAGCATCTTCCAGAGTCTTGGGCAGAAAATCTACTACATATAATTAGGGAGAGCATGATGACCACACTGGAAAAAATAAATAAGTAAATGAAAATCTAAGTAGTGCCATGAAAAATGCTCCTTTGCGAGCAGTAGTTTGTTCAGAGATGATAACACCACCTTCTCTTGTTTGCAGGTGTGGCTTGATCTTTTGAAGCCTGTTGTGAAACAGATTAGAAGTAAGTACTTCCTTGCTGTCATTTATTTGGTCAATCTGAGAGTACTTGAATAAATGAGGGCTCTGTCAGTTGGGATCTTTACCTTCTCAACTTTCTTCACTGAATTTTGTTTGGATTATTTTTTATTTCTGTTCTGTCCTTAAAAGATGAACTGTGCGTGCTGTGAAATTATGTCACAAGAACATACGAAGGGGCTGACCCAGTAGGAGACAGAGGTTTAGTCAGTCACTAGAAGAGACAGTGGTGGCAATGGAGGAAACAGTTTTGTACAGGAAAAAAGCATGCAGTAAAAGAAGGATTAAAAGAAACACACATTGCCAAAAGGTAACAGTAATCAGGATAAGAGAAAAAGAACAGGAAGACGTTATTGCTGGGAAGGAGCTAGCAAATGTGTTACAGCTCTCTGGGACATTGCTGCAGAACGTGGAGCTGTCTGAGACCAAGAGGAGGAAACAGTTGGGTTAGGGTTAGTTATGGTGGGCGGCGGGAGCCAAAAGGAGTTTGTAAATAGCCATCAGCTCTGGAAAGAGTAGAAATGAACAGGAAAGGTTTTGGTGATTTCGTTCCTCTGTCAAATATCAGCAAAGTTCTTCATTTATTGAGCTTTGCCATTGAGATCAAGTTTTCTTAGGTGCCTCACTGTTCATATTAGTCTGAGTGTATGCTCTGGCACTTCTCCCTCTCACGAGAGAGAGAGATGCAATTCTCCTTTTGTCACTGGTCATACTTGTAGGAGTCAGAACAAATGTGCTGCTGTTAAAACAGAAATAGTGATTTGCTAGTGGACTTGAAAAATAGAGTGTATTTTAGCTCCCTCCTGGTCTGAAGCAAGGAAAATAGACACACGTAATATATTTTATTGGATCAACTGATTTAATTACTCAAAACAGACTCTGTTTTGGCAGAGTATCCCTCCACCAAGTTACTGTTCTTTTTTATTGTGTGTAAATTTTATTGTGCAATCTCTAAATAACCCAAATCCTAACAAAGAACGGGAGGTTAGCATGTATGTATGCACTGCAGGTTCCATGAATCATCCCACGTACATCATTCTGCGTAATAAAATTTGGCCAGCGTGTTACTGATGTTCACTAACTTCCTTTGACATTTCCCCTAGGACCGAAGCATGTTGTTGTAAAATTTGTCGTAAAATTCTTCCCACCTGACCATGCTCAGCTGCAGGAGGAACTGACAAGGTTAGTAGCTGCATGACTATTTTTTTTTTTTTTTAATTAAATCTCTGGTGCATAGAGGGGAGAACATGGAATTTGAGATGATTGGGTGAGAATCAATGGCTGCCTCTTAGTATTAGCTTGATGTTATTTGCCCCAACCTTGAATGCACCTGAAAAATAGGCCCTAAGATTCTGTTAACAGTCTGTGCTGAGAGGTTCTGCAAAGTGCAGGAGTCCTTTGCCTCCTTGGATTTGGGGCCCTGGGAGAGCTTTGTTTACCCCAAAAGAAGGCAGTTCGGCAACAGAGTTCTCCAAGCCTGTTTGGCAGTGGTGTTCAAAGGGACTTGACTAAGGTACGTGTTGGTGCCCTGGGGCGTCCCTCTGCTGAGGGACACGTGCGACTCTGCACTCGCATTTGGGTGAGAGTTGGTTTTGCATGAATTGCCACGTTGCAACAGCATTGGATCCTATTCCTATAGCCAACGCAAATGCCAAAGGTTTGCTTAGGTGGAACTGTGACTTCGGAGGTGGAGAAATGGGAAGGAGAGGGAATAAAACAAAAAGTAAGAGGAAGGTAGAGAAAGATACACACATATGCAGAAAGAGTGCCTTAAAGGTGTGTTTATTTTCAGTGCATTTCAAAAACTTCATTTAAGCTCTGAATTTCACACTGCATTGGCATAAAGAGTCATATTTCTCTGTGAGTAAATATGCATATGAGGGACCTATTAAGGTTCTTCCTCATCAGCAGGTCCTTCCTTTATGGTCAGAAACGTTGTTTTGTTGCCGTATTTCTTCACTGAAACTTTTCAACTCTTTTTCTGATTTACAATATTACTATTTTTAATTACATTTTTCCATTCTGATTCAGTATTTTCACTATTAGTTTTTATTTTCAATTTTCCCACAAGATGAAGTCCTCTTTTACAAAGAGCTCGTGTCCTTATGACCTGCTTTATAAAGAACAAATCCACCTGTTCTGTGTTTATCTCCCTCTTATTTTGATAATAAAGCAATGGAATGGAAAAAAAGGAATGATTGATATCTCTTGTTGGCCTGGACAGAGAAAAGTAGAAAAGTGGGGTAAGAAGAAGGAATATTTATTTGAAAGACTGGGTAAAAACAATAAAAGGATGAATGAAAACTCACAACATGATGTTACTAATGAAACATTTCTGTTCCAAATGGATATTCTGCATATCAGTTGCTTAGTATGTGAACTGTAAATTGATTTTGGTGATCTTTCTGCACGTGGAGACGTGTCTCTGAATCCTAATGACTTTTGGTTAGATTTGAAATGTGTACGCTAGGAAACTTGAATATATGTACACAGCACTATGTAGGATGTGAAAGCATATCCACAGAGAACAGCTTCAACACTTGAAGAAGCAGAGAATACAACACTTTTGTGCTATATTCTTCTGCTAGGTTGAATTTTGTATGGCTAGGCAGATGTCTGCAGCTTTCAAAAGGACATTATTTAGATATGCTGTATTATTTCATGTACTGTGTATGTTTCCATACTCCTCAAATCAGCTTGCCCTTTTCATTTAATTTACCTACATCTCCTCATTCAGAAACTAACTGTTCAAATGAGAGCTTTTCACTGAGCGTATAAAAATTTAATCTTATTAAAAACTATTGAGACCCTAGTATGAGCTCTCCAGAGGAGCTGCAGTCTTTGGAAGGCTTGTTAAGGTGCCTAACCAGTTCAAGTTTCATACCAACTGTAGGAGAAATGCTTACTGCTGGCTCATTTTTTTCTAGGGAAGAATTTGATGCTGAGTAGAACTAAGCAATTTCAATTCCCGTTGAAGCTAGAAGAAATTTAAATGTTGAAATAATGTCATGGACCTGTGATGTTTCTTTACTTAAACTGCCTATGTAGAGTTGCCCTACATGGGTGAGATGGTTCGGAAGTGAATATGTTAAAAATGACTGGTGCACGGGCCAAGTAATGCGGCCAGAAAAGTATCAGAGCTAGCTAGAGTTATTTGATCGAGATCTTGCTCCTCATTTCCAGGTGAGGGCCAAGGGGCAAGTTTAGATTTCTCCTTGTGTTCTGCAAGAACCGATAACTCTAAATCACTGGTTTATCTGGCATTTCTTCATAGTTACAAGCAGCTCCATTATCTAGTGCTGTTTGCCGTGCGATTGCTGAGCACTTAGTAGCTGTCAGATTTGCTTCCACTGTCATATCGCTTCCAGATCTCATTGCTCTGGTTCAAAGAGAGGGGGAGAGAGAGAGAAAAAGAGGGATATCTCGGTTCTGCAAAGCAGCCACCATGTAAGACTCTTTATGGCTGTAATACAGTATCTGTTATGTTTTATTTAGCCTCTAAACTTAGGAAATTCAGATCACTTCTGTAGATTCCAAAAAGTGAAAGGAACATGTAGCCAAAAGCAGAGTAGGTGTTGAAATACTTTCCCCTCTTTCCCTCCTGTTTTGTGTAACTCTGTTCACTTTTGTTTTGCAGGTACCTATTTGCATTGCAAGTGAAGCAGGACCTGGCACAGGGAAGGCTAACGTGTAATGATACCAGCACTGCCCTCTTAATCTCGCACATAGTACAGTGTAAGTTCCCTTTTTAATTCTTCCCGGGAGGTTAAACAGGGTGATTGGCTGGACATGCTTTGCTGGGTTACCTGTTGGTAGCTGCTGTAGGGACAGGTTTAAGCCATATGGACAATTTATTGTATTTCTGTATAACGGCATTCAAGTACAGGTAATTTACTTTTTCAAATAAAGCAGAGCTTCTGGACACGGGATTTGCATTTTTAAAGCACTGCATTTGATAGTCTGCCTAGGATCGTTTAAAAAGCAAACTTTGCAGGCAGTGGCAAACAGGTTGAGTTCTCCTGAATTCTTGTTCTATTCTGCTATGTATCATGTCAGCAGAGCATTCAAATTCCTGGAGATCTGTACGCTGTCTAGAGAATGTAGTAAATAAACATGCTTAGAATGCCAGACTAAATCACAGTCCTAAGAGGAAACTGATAGGGAAGAAAAAAACAACAGATTTTAAGCTTTTTTTTTTTTTTTTTTAAACTGCAAAGTATGTACAATAAGACTGTTCAGTAGAATCACACATTAACTTTGTTCATCACATCAAAGCTGCTTTTAGCTTCCGGATCACTTGAAAGGCAGCGTATGTTTTCCATTTCAAGACTTTATGGATACTCATCTTGAGAACAACATTAGGAAAAACCACTTAGTAGCATGTATAATGGTCATAATAGACTGTTGTTTTGAATGGTCATTGTACAATTCAGTATTGCATATTTCCACTGAAATGCTGTTGCATGGAAATTACAGTTAACAAAGATGTTCAGAAGCTCTTTAGTGATGAATAGATAAATCTCATGATCCTTTGTCATAGTCTGTCTGTTAGGGCAGTTTCTCATCAATTGCTGTTGGAAAGGCAGGTATTGCATGGTTTTCTATTTGCCATGGTCATCATTGCCCAGTGTGACTGAGTAGCAATAAGAAGCTGTACAACAGCCTCTGTGAAATTCTGTATTCCTCACACCATTTTAAAACTGAGTATTTTTGCAGCACAGACTTAAAAAAAAAAAAAAATCCTCTGCTAGCGAGCTTTTTGTGTCTTTTAGTTCTTCCCATTGCGGTGTCCAGCACGCCAACTGTAGTTCTTTCCTCAGTTAAGCTAGTTCTAACTTCCTTTCGTCTCAGGAAAAGAAGTCGTGATTGTTTGGGGGAAATTGAGTACCATTTGTTACACTGCATTCTAGGAGGGTGAGTTTTCCTACTAAGCGTCTGTGTACCAAAGAAAGACGTTGGGGAGAGGACACCCTAATGCATGTGTCTCTCTTCATTTGAGGTATTGCTTCATGAATATCCTCTCTTGAGCTCTTATATTTTATATGCATTATTTTTCTTATGATTTCTGCTTAGATCCTATTTCATGTCTTACTCGTCTCTCATTGATTACTCAATTTAAGTTCTTCGCTGAACCATCTACAGCTCTGGAGTCTGAACTGCTCAGAGTGCAACTGCTGGCTTGTTGTCCTAAAGCAACAGCATAAGAGGATAAAATACAGGATGTCCTTTCACCTTTACAAGCTGTCCCTTTTCCTTCTCCGCACAGTCAAACTCAAATTTAATTCAGCGTTTTTTTCAAAATTCCTCCATTATACACCTATGCAGGCCAACAAGAAGCATTCATTTCAAAGTGTGCAAAAATGGCAAATCATCACTGTTGCTCTTATGCTGCTGAGGTGCATTATGCCATTGGATTAAACAGTTTTCCTCAGTTGCTGGAATTGGTCATGATGCATTTGAAGTCTTTCTAATTCTTTATCCTCTTCACTTGTAAGCTAAAGGTGCAGAGTGATTCTGAACTGGGACTTTAGGAATCAACTAGTACTCGCCTCATGGGGAGAATAAGATAAGATGCTTCTGTACTGAAAAACAGAGTTTTTCCGTCATGTCAGAAGGAGAGAGGTGAGAGATTCATCATGCAGAAGTGAGACAGTATTCCCAGAATCTGAACTGCCATTTTGGGCAGAGGGATGCGGTGCCTCACGGCGCACCTGCAGTGCTGCTTTCCCCTCACCATCTCCTGACTGCAAGCTGGACCTTTTTTTTTTTTGCCTTTTATGATTTTTCCCCTCTCCCTTTTTTTGTGTAACAGTGTTTGCTAGAAACCTCTGCTAGAAGTTTGCAGCCATCTCATTTATTTATCCATCTTGTGTCTCATGAACGTTTTTCTGTGAAAATTTTCTCTGATAAGAGTCTATAGCTGTATCTTACCCACATGGCTGTCTTTTGTATTTATTTTCTTTCTAGCTTATTATTCAGTAGCAAAAGAAATATTATGTATTAGTCTGCAACAAAAATAAAACTAGACAGCTGATAAGAGTAATGATATCGAAGTGGAAAGATTGAGAATGCAGGAGGTTAGGTATTGTATGTCTTATCGGTGCTGTGCCTATGAGCAGTTTCTACGGGGCGTATCTGATTCCAGGAGGCCCTTCTATTATGTATACAAGCTTATGTCAATGTTATAGACTGTTATTTGTATGAAATCATAATATGACAGCAAATAGGTTTCTGTTAAATTAGCGTGTATGTTACAAAATGGAAATTATATTTGAAACATTCTATTTAAAAATACCTTAAAAGCATTGTAGAAAGTGTTAGAAGTGAGAAGACACTTTAATACTGCAAATGATGTAGTAAAGTGATTGCGTGAAGTAAGAAGATGGACTGATTAAAAGGAAAGAGCTGAAATACAAAGCATTAGACATATCAGAAGTGCTAATGCAGATAGAATACAGCGTGCTGTAATGCACTTGCAAGATAAGAGAAAAAGGAGCATCAGTGGAAATCAATCTTTGGCTAAAAGACACGAGAAGATTTTAAAGAAGAGTTATTTGTGAGGCTGACTATGCAAAATATAACTCCTTCTCTTTCTAGAGGGAATGCTACTAGAAAAGCATTTAAGGTGGAAAAGGAGGTCTAAGGAGAGAAGGAAAAGCTGTTGAGTATGAGGTCAGAGAGAAGAAATTCAGAAGTAACTTGAAAGCCAAGAGGACAATTTCGATAATGGATTAGCAGCTGACAAATGCAGAGAACATTATAGAAATCATGTAGAGGTGAAAGAAGAGTCTTCTGTACTCTTGGCTCTGAAGAAAGCCCTACAGAAGGTGGTTTAAGTCTATCTGTGTACGAGGACGTACAGGGTATGAACTGCATTTTAAAGAATAAGGCCTGTGTTATTGGAAGTGTTGAAAACCTAGGTGGGCTTATGGCTTCATTAAAGAAGAGAAACTTGCCTTTCGTTTGATTTAGGGTTAAAAACGGACCCTAAAGATTTGTGACACTGGGGTGAGTAAAACTGGAGTGAGGGAGCCGTTTCTGAGATGGGGACAAAAGGGACATTTTACAAAGGAGAATTCTCAAAGATTCTGTAGTATTTCTGCTGTCTCAAGGAATGATTCAGAGCAGATGGGATGAGGGAGGGGGTGGAAATCAGGCAGTCTCAGTTACCAACTCTTTTCCACCTCTGACCTCCAAAGTATAAAACGGCAACGTGTGGCTGCAGGCAATTTGGGTTGAAAGGTTACTGCTCTGTCATTCATAGATGCTTTGGTCCTCATCTCCCCTGCCTACACAAGGTTATTGCTCCCCCTCTGCATTTGCAGGTACATCTGATCCCAGGCAAACTTCTGTCAGAAATCACCCTTCAGTGTTTTGAACATCACCTGAAACCTTTCTTTTTCCTAAACAGCTTATTTTGGACAGAACTGGATTAGGGGATCATTTACATGGGCAGAACTGAGGTGAGGATGAGGCAGGGATCTGAGCTTGGGTCTGTGACATCCTAGGTCAACTGTGCAACAACGTGTCTGACCACAACCTGGATTTAATTTGAGGGCGCTGCATTTTAATTTCACTGACATTATTAGGGTAGCAGCCTTTGTTGTAGCGTTGTTGCTATTATTCCGGCAGGTTTGCAGGCAGAGGCTGCTACGCTGTTCAGTGAAAAAGCTAATAGCAAGATTTTCAGCGGCATTCCAAGAATAGCAGGCAACAAGATAGTAATCCGGCACCCACACATAGATTGCCTGCCTCTCCCCGTCCCGAAAAAAAGGAAATCTCACTGAATGGGCTGCAAAATGGAAGGTGGGTGTGACATACCGTTGCACACACGGTATTGAATAACTGCAGCAGATGGGAGCAACTTTGAGGAGGAGGGAGACAGAATGTGTCTCAAACTGCCGCAAAATTAGAGGAAGACAAATGTTTCATAACCCCATGAGGTGGAATACATGCCTGCATTCAAGCAATCAAACAAAACCATCTCTCTTCAGATTTTCCCTCGAAGATTACAGTGTGGGGCATGGGCCTGGGGAGGAAGTTTGTGTTTGGCTGCTCCAGGGGAAGGCACCTGAGCACCACCATGCGTGTGAGAGAGACGGATGAGTTCTACTGAATTAGTGCTGTCCTCCCTGTCACCTCCCCCCCTTATCCGCACACAAGCCAAGGGAGCACTGTGATGGCTTCATTTGTTCAGTTGACATTCAACATCTACTTGCTTGGTTGCGGTAGACGGGAGGAATCCTTGCGCTTCTTCTCACCTGTCAGATGCTAAGACTGAGGAGAAGGGAGGAATGTGTGGAAGATAACGTAGTGGGAAGCTGAATCATAAAACCATGACACAGCTTGCGAGAAACTACATTTGCTTCTCTGCCCTCTTCCCAGCTGTCTGCACCTTTTGGATTGCCCAAATAGTTCAGATTTAATACAATGTTTTAATAGACTTTTCTTAAAATTCTCTGTAGCTGAGATTGGGGATTTTGATGAAACCATAGATCGTGAACACTTAGCGAAGAACAAGTATATACCTCAGCAAGAAGCACTAGAAGACAAAATCATGGAATTTCACCGTAGTCACATGTAAGACTTTTTTGTTCTTGTTATTGGCCTTCTTTTCCTTTAGAGTAGTTCTGACTGTAAATATATACTAGATCATAAGTACAAAAGAGATTTAGACTTCTGAGTTTCTCAAAGGTTACTTCTCAAAAAACATTCAATGAACTTCCTGAAGGTTACTCCTGCCTTTCTCCTATCATCATAGCAAGATGTTTAAAGAGCAATTGATTTTGATATTCGTTCAAGCATGCCATTATTTTACAGTCTATTTCATACAAAATGCTTCACTGCTGATTTTGCGCATGCAGGTATGATTGCAAATGATGACTAATCAGTCAGGCACTTCTGACAGCAGTCTTTTTGATTTCAAGGACATGGAATGTTGGTTTTTCACCTTTCCATGCTGTATTTAGAGATGGGTGAAGAAAGGGTTTAATGATAGTTTTAGGAAAAGCACAAGGTGCTTGCAGAATTAGGGATTTGGGGGAATAGGATTCAAGATGATGATGCAAATTGGTATCCTAAGGCCTGGAGAAAAGACTAGTAATAAGAAGATGGTTAAAAGAATTACAAATAAGGCATATTTTTTTGCTGTCAAGAACACTTCAAGACTTGAACAAATTTAATTTGAGCTACACTGAATTAGATATGAGTGGTAGGGAGTTCTATAGCAGTAATAATCAAAACTTTTGCATAATTTCATCATGATTAATTTAGTGCTTATGGGTTCCCAACATTCATGTTAATGTTTTCATGTCTTCTGTTTTACTTCATTTTGGTATTGCATTCACTTTTACAGTGAACAACATCCTTACACACTTCTCTTTATGGTTTGTTTGGGGGTTTTTTTAGGAATATAGCATGTTTTTCCAATGCAAAATACAAAGAGAGGTAGTGAACTCTGTTAAAGTTAATGGTTCAAAATCTAGCTCTATCAGGTGTCTCAGAATTGGAGTGACCAAATTTTCTAATAGACTGTAAAATCTGTGGATTCTTTGGTATTGGTTTAGACTAAGATAAAGTTGTTGTTCTAGCTAATATAAATCTGGGGACATAGAAAAGCCATACAGATATTATACCTCTGACAGGTTTCAGTCTGTTTGATGAAATGTCTCTTTGTTCTCTGGAGGATCTGTTGATCTCTATTAAAAGGTGTGAAGAATCTGTGTGTCTTCTCTGTTTTCTTTCTCAAGGGGACAGACACCAGCAGAGTCTGACTTCCAGCTTTTGGAGATTGCCCGTCGGCTGGAGATGTATGGAATACGCTTGCATCCAGCCAAGGACAGGGAAGGGACAAAAATCAACCTGGCTGTTGCCAACACAGGCATTCTGGTGTTTCAGGTTAGAGCTGCTCGGGACATGACTTTGTACTTTACAAAGCAGAGAGATTTCTTACAGTGATAAGAATTCAGGACCTCAGCCACGTCTAAAAGAATTTGGTTGGGAAAATTCAGGAACTTCCAATTTTTTTCTAACAATGACCTTAAACGTTTTATAGCTGCATTAGGTCCTTCACTGTCAGGGACTCTTGTTTGCAGGCACAGGGTAGAACTCCATCTGCAGCCACAATGTGCTGTTCAAGATGCAAACTGATCCACAGCTCACAATTTGCAAGCTGGTCATGCTGACACCTCCTACATATAGGAGCAGGTAGGTCTTGCAGGCATGGTGCATAATAAATGGGTGTGAAGCTGGGACAAATAAAACAACAGACAACTGGAGTACATGGAGAAGGATGTAGGAAGTGAATGTAAGCTCTCCGTAGCATTACTTTGACAGAGTTTTTACAATTTTCTTGACCAGCCTTGGCTGTTCTACCTTTGCTGAATCCATGAATCTTACTTCTTTCCAAAAAAAAACTTTCCCTAAAGGATCGGAAGTATTTTCCTTACATTTGTTTCCTCTCCTCTCCTACCCTAGTCAGCCTAGTAAATGTTCGTGAAGCATCATTAGTAAATTTATCAAATTCTTGTTCTGCAGTTCCCCTTAGGTAAATAACAAATTGGGCTTTTACAGTTGTGAAGGTACAGATAGTCAGCTGGCGTAAGCTGCTTTCACTTCAGATGAACTTATATCTCTAGCATCCAAAATGCTGCTTACCTCACTGTGTGTTACAAACAATAAGTAAACTGTTCTTTAAAATGTCCAGTTTTACCATTGTCAAAAAAGACTATTCATTCTAACTGTTTGACTTCAGTTAAAATACTAGTCTTTCCAACCTTATAAAGTACTTTGAGTCCTTTTATAAAGAAAAAAAACAGCAACAAACCAACCCAGAAATATGTCTGACCCAAATGCTCTCAGATCTAAGTTTAAAAAAAAAAAAAAATGTAAAAAACCCTGCTCAACTAAACGGGTTCCTAGTAAAACCCCCAAACTGAAGCATAGCTTGAGGTATGAGAACACCAGGATGTTGTGAGAAATGCACATACCTCAAATAATTTTGTGTTCAGGCCTGTCCCCTGCTCCCCCACAGTATTTTCATCAGCTGAATTAATGAATTGCAAGGCCTTATACATTAAGACTGTCTCACAGCTGAAAGTATGTGTCCACACAAAACAGCATGGACCTCACTGAGTCCCAGTAGACAGCTTGGGGTCCTTCCGTAAAAATTTAGCTGCTGGTTGAAGGCCCAAGGCTCTAAAACTCAGTCATCTCTTCTTGTCCAAATGTATTTGGAACTTTCAAAACAGGTTTTTTTGAATTTTCAGAAAAACTTGGAAGTTTTGCTGGATCAAGCTCCAAGACTGAATGCTGAAAAGGAATTCAGGCTCTGACACGCTGGAGTCTGCTCAGCAATTGGTGCCTGGCTTAGGGCTTCTTTCAAGCACTTCATAGGGCAAGAGCCTTACGTTCATCTTTTTATTTTGGCTACAACTAAGAGAAATTGAAATATGAAGACCTCATTAGAATGACCTCAAGGAAAATAAAGGTTCACTCACAAATGGCATAAGCAGTACTCAGACAGACTTATTTTAAAGCCTGCCATTTATTTAGACATCCGTGTCAGTGCTGCTGAATATTCTAAAGGAGATTAATTATGTGATTCTGAAACAGCAGGTTGACTTAGCAGAGATCATCACACCATCATTACTCCTACATCTGTCTGGTGACAGTGCCCAAATCAATTGCGTTTAGCAGTCCTGTAGTAGCTCTCTGAAACTTCTGTGCTGTAGGCATGTTTGTATTGAAGTCTTTACTGAACAAACTACTGTAAGGAATATATTAAAATAATACCTCCAATACCTTCTAACATAGATTGAGAATCAGACTTCTGGGGAGTAGGGGCTAATGATACAGTGGCTGGGAACTGTAGTGTTTTGAAGATAATTTCTCTCAGGGTTCCGGTTTGTTTCTGGTTTTTCGTTGACGTTTTTTGGGGGAAAAGTATTTTGTGACTTTTCAGAGACAAGTCCTTTATTTAGGTTCCTTTTACTTCTTTTGCTCCCTATGGAAGGTCAAAATACTCACGGTATTTTGCACTTCCAGTACAAAGCTTTCAGTTGCTGTTTTTTCCCCCCAGTTAAGTGATGTTTAAAGGGGTGTTTGTTTGCCCTGTAGACAAACAAAGAAGAAAGACATCTACCCCGTCAAAGCGAAGTGACCAGGTTAGGTGTCTGGATTCCCTGCATTCTCTGTAGCTGGTAGAAAGAGAAGGAAGCACCTCTAGGAGGTGACCACTGAAAATCAGCTTCTGCATAGTAGAACAAGATAACATCATCTGGGCAAAAGCTGGGTCACCCTGTTTTGTGCAGTGATACTGGGTCAGATACTTTCACATCAACTCAGTATACCTAGTTCTGTAAATATGCAAGAGTTTAGCCATAAGTACCTACCTTCAGTCACAGCACCAGATGCTTATGGTTTGCATTATCGGAGAAATGATAAGAAATATTGTAATTTCAAGTGAAGTGAACAGATGATTAATTTATGACAAGTTTTTTTTAGTGGTTTAGATTTCTCCATTCCGATCTGGAATGCTTAAACTCCGCTGGCTTTGTTCTCTGTAGGGTCACACCAAGATCAATGCCTTCAACTGGGCTAAGGTTCGAAAGCTGAGCTTCAAGAGGAAACGTTTTCTTATCAAACTACGGCCTGATGTGAATGTAAGTCCTTGTCAGGAATTGATGAAGTTGACAAAAGGTTATTTGGTAAATTTCTACTCACAGATCAAACATATATTTTTATCACCTCAAGAAGATTTTTTTTTTTAGTTAATTGCTTGTGTTCACTGTTGGTACTGCACACATCAACTTGGGATCTCAGCTGAGCAGTCCCAGCAAAGGAGATGTAAACTGAATGTCACAGAGTCATCTTCTGGCTGCGACTCTGGTACTATATCATCAATTCTTAAGTTATAGCATGTAAACCACCTCTTCTTGTTAATATTAAGACCTCTGCTTTATCTCTGTCATATTTGTCAATGAAAGAAAGTTTGAGCAATAGCTCAAAGTGGGAAGGAAAGGACCTGAAAGCCAATGAGTTGGGAAAAAACGCCTTTTTTTTTTTTGTTTTTTTTGGTTTTGTAGCATTGTGCCTGCTTTGTCAATGCATCTCTATAATTTATGTTGCTTGCTTGCTTACATTGCAAATGCTATCTCAATTTTCAGAGCTCATTCCAGGACACCCTGGAATTCCTTATGGCCAGTCGAGATTTTTGCAAGTCTTTCTGGAAGATCTGTGTGGAGCATCATGCCTTTTTCAGGCTTTTTGAGGAACCTAAACCAAAGCCTAAACCCGTTCTTTTTTCTAGAGGTTCATCATTTCGGTTCAGGTAAGACCTGCATTCTTCTTTCCACCTTTGCTGCTTCCGCATTTCAAAGTCACATCCATAATGATCTAGGATTAAACCTATTATTTTCAGCTCCCCTTTTTTACATTGTAGTTTGCTCCTTTATATTTTCCATTGCATCTTCCCAGCCAGAACAGTGCAAAGAACACAGCAGGGAAAAAGCCTACATTCATTTTGTAGTAGCTGTTGCAAAGTAGCTTTCTGGAGGTAAGATATAAAGTATCCAGATATAAAGGTTCCAGCTGGTTTCACATAAGAAAATCTACCTGTGTCCTAAGCAACACTAGCTAGCAACTTTTTGGCACTCTCTGGATCCTCTGCTTCTAGGATGGGATCTTTCTTATGTATCAGAGTAGAGATTTTTATTTTCGTTGCATCTCCCTGTGGTAAACCTATCTCTATGCAGTTACAAGCAGTGGTTTTCGTCTTGGTTCCAGGGTTTACTGATACCAGGTAAGGCTAGTATTTGACTCTCTAAAGGATTCAGGAATGTTCTTTGTTCATGAGAGGAAAACTTAACCCTTGCTTAACTTTCTGTTGTGGTGACTTCGCAGTAATGTAGTACCCTATAAAGGCCACACAACTGAATTTAAGTAGTTCTGAAGTGGCATCAAAAAGTAGCTCTGTAGCAAAAAAAGAGGTAAGTAACAGGCAAAATGATAAAAATCTGTATGTTTCTGACCAGGTCCACTTATGATCTTACATGAGTTTCTGCTGATAGTGACAAATACTTTTCTGGTTGCTGTGACTTCATATGCAGGCCACATACATGTTTATGATGACCAGTTGGTATATAGTATTAAATGTGGCAAATTCAGTATCTGAGACTGATATTTTAACTGTGGTTTTCTTCCAGTGGTCGGACTCAGAAGCAAGTTCTTGACTACGTTAAAGAAGGAGGGCACAAAAAAGTGCAGTTTGAAAGGTGAGAGGAAATAAATGAACTATCCCAATATGTTTTAATCAAAGAAAAGTTGTGATTTCCAGTTAGTTATATTCTAAGGTGTTGGCACCAGTCCAAGTGAAAAATTCCGTCTTTGTTGGTTTGACAGTTTATCACTTGTGTAATATCCCCTTGGTCCTGAATGTTTTGGCAGAAGTTGACATAACCTATAGTTTACTTAAAATCAATAGTCTTCAATCTTTTTTTCATCAGTGAGTGTCCTACCATCACAGGTAACTTCCTCCCATATTGATTTGCACCCTTTTTGGTGAGATGTGGTTAACGTATGTGAACAGACATATTCACCTCAGAATAAAACTGAAAGTAACAGGAATAGGTATAGCCAACCTGAAGGGAGAGGTCTCCAGGGAAGGCTTCCAACTCGCTAGAGCCAGTTCTGTCTGAACTCATCTTGTTCATGGTGAGCTGAAAGTAATGGCCAAAATGCCACAAAGACCATGACAACAGTTCATTGCTTATGACTCATGCTCTGGGGATACACCATTTTTGCTTCAGTGTCTCTCCCTTTTCTTACAATGGTATGTTTGCAATACATAGTGCATTTAAATTTACAGAAAGGAGGAACGCTGATCTGTTTTGGAGCGAACTTTTATGAAAGCTGCTGTTCAAAGGTTTTATTTTAAAGGAGGCATGTCTCTTGATTCCTGTTTGTAGAAAAAACTGAAATGGCTTCTTATTGTGATTTTCCTTTTATTTCCAGGAAACACAGCAAGATTCATTCCATCAGGAGTCTGACTGCACAGCCTTCAGAACAGCATACAGAGGTGCCAAAACAAGTCAGTGATGATGGTGAAACCCTGGATCATGCCTTTTAAACATTTCTTGTTACATTACCCTCCACTGATTGCTGCTTTGAAACTCTAGGAGCATAGTTTTCTGATCACTTTCCATTTAACTGGGAGCCCTGGGTGTCATAAGTTTTAGGTTCTGCAAGTGGAACAGGTTCATTTCCACTGTGGAGCAGAGTTGCTTCCAGACAACCAGACAAATATAAATAGTGAGCTTGTCTGACCATCTGAAAAGTTGCGATCCACAGTGTTACTGCTGGGGTCCTAGGCTGTAGCTGGTTATTGCATCTGGGAAAAGTTTAATTCTTTTCCTTCACTGGGGGGCCTTGGTTGCCCATGACAAGCTGTTTTGTTACATTAACCAGGGAGGAGGATTATTTCCTCAGAAAAATTACAGCCCTGGACTTTTGAGCTATTATCTCTGGTAGATACCTAATGTATTTGTCTTATGTTAATAGCTGTTATGCATTAGGAGTTTGCAAATCCAATAGCCTAATAGTGGAGAGGTTGCAGCAGCTGCATGTTCCCAGGTCCAGCTAGTAATAAGGCTGAACATGTATTCACAATAGGCACCCGCATATATGCACGTATACAATATATATACACACAGCCAGCCACACAGGTAAACACAAACAGAAAATAGCACTCCCACAAGCACAAACAGTGCCAGTGGCCACCTGTCCCGCTCTTTGGCTGATAAGGATGAAAGTTCATTAGTGGAAAATACAAGTACATATATGTGATATGGATCACTCCTGCAACTGGTCTTGGACACTCGGATTATCCAGTCGCAGGCCCCTGGATCCTCAGGTCTCCTGGTGGCTGGTACCTGGACATACAAGCCCCCAAGGCTCACAGCCCCACTCTAGCTGTTGGTACTCAGATCTACATGCGTGCACGTGCGCACTATTGGTTCCTCCAATAATTCATCTTAGACACCCAGTCCACCCAGTAACTGACAGCTGTGTACCCTGGTTCCCAGTTACCTCACACACAGACACATGCACATCAAAGGTATCTCTCCAATAGCTGGTCCAGACTTAAGACATTACCAGTAATTGACCCCCAGGCCCCACCGTCTTTCCAGTGTCTGGCCTGACTTAACGGCTCCTCCAGTACTTGGCTCCCAACTCTCTTATCCTACTCACCAACTTGTCCAGTTTAATGTTTGGTAGCAATTGCACATTGACCTACCCACCCAATCAATATTACACACGCTCTGGTCTCTCCAGTTGCTGGCATCCCAGACGCACCCAGGCCATGGACTGGTGGCTCTACTGGGACAGCCCGCAGAGGAGCCGAGTCAGGGAGCTCCATTTCCCTGACTAGGTTATTGGGGTTGCTCTGCCTGCCAATGTCTCCCTGTGCTCATCTGTATTTGTGGAGGCGAACCTTTAATCACCTAATCTTACATTAGGTAGAGCTTAAATGGCAGGAGCAAGCTACTAGGTTAATGCATTTAAGAATGCTACACTCACCTTTACCTTCCTTGCGTTGCTTCCTTTTGATATTCGCAGGCTCTCTCATTCCTGCAAATCTAAGAACTTCAGAGAATTCTGCTATAAATGCAGCCCTTTTCAAATATCTTTTAGCATTGTAATATTGCTAAGACAAGCTCAGGTAGATGGAGCATGGCTGCTGGGCAGATGCGACATATTTCTGTATGCAGAAAAGCCAGCCCAGGGATTAGTGGCAGGTATGCTCCAAGGATTGAGTGTGGGGTGTTCAAAAGCCCACACGTGGCTTTTTTAGTGTATGTAAGTAGGCTGTGAAAAATTCATCTTATGCATTTATCTTTTTTGTCCCTCCAGCTTCTCAGAGTAGTGCGAACGGGTTGATGTTGGTGCTGATGGATGCCTTAGGGCATTGAAACACCCCAAATACCCATTTTTACGTATCACCACATTCTACCTGCCTTCTCTTCCCTTGCTTAGTTTATGTATTTTTCTGTTCTTAAGATCAGAGACCTCTTTTTTTCCTTCTAATTCATTTTGAAGCTTGGGTTACCTCTTCCACTTTCAAGAGACTCCTATGTTGCTGCAAGATGCAGTGCAAAATTCTGGTGCATAATTACACATAGCCTTTTCCCTCTGGCTCCCTTCCCTCCCAAACCTCTCCCCTCCCACCCCTCCCTCCCCCTTTGTCTTCCCCTTGCCTTCCCTCCTTTATCTTCCCAGAGCTCTAGCTTTGCCTATGGAGACGACAATGATGCTGCAGCAGTGCAGAGCTGCCGGCAAGGGAAGGAATTGAAGGCTTCAGCGGAAGACACTGGACAGCACAAGAGCCCTTCCTTGAAGAAGAGCCCGAAGGAAGCCAGAAAGGTGGATGGAGCAGTGGTGTCAACAGTGGAAGAAGAAGAGGAGGCTGCTAAGGACAGGATGCAGCAGAACAGACCTCAGTCACAGCAACCAAGCACAGGTCCAGCTTCCAGGGCTGCTCATGGCAGCAGCACCTCCATTCCTTTCATTGACTGCAGTGATGTAGATAGCGAGTATGATCTCCTCAGAGGACAAATAACCCGGTCATATTCCCAAACAAATGACAATTATGAGGGTGATTTGACCAGTGGTGCCTATATTCACTATAGAGACGAAAATCGCAATAGAACTAGATATAGGGATTCCTCAGCCTCTATAAAGTCTTCCCAGTATCTCTCTGAAGAGTACCTTGATGATAACCCAGCTAATCTCTCCTTCTACACTGGGGGAAGCCCCAGGATGCCAAGGCACAGCTCACTGGTTGATGAAATGTTTAGAGGGCCAGGGAGCCGTAGTCCACTGGCCACTCCATTGCCTCCCAGTAGCAAAGGGTCAAGCCCTAACATGAGCCTGAGTAGAACTGGCTCTCAGGGTTATGGCTCGGAAAATGGGCATGACTGCAGGGTGAGGACTGGGGAGGAGGATAGCCATGCCAGTAGCTGCTATGGGTACGGCAGTTATTCTCCAGGTTCTCAACGGCCTCGTGCACAGAAAATCCCAAATCTCTGCAATAAATCAGTTACAGATCCATTTATCCTGAGCCAGATATCCTCAACCCCTGGGCAGGAGTATAGATCAGAGAGATATTGTAAAGGAGACCTTGTGGCTAAGATGTCTTCTCCAGAAGGCAAAATGATGGCCAACGGTATGCCAGCGGGGGCACAGTCAAAGCAGAGCCCAGTCATGCAGTCGCTGCATGCCAGTGGCATGATGGATCACACAGCCGCAATCCAGATGATGGAGGGCTCCACAAGCAGTGGGACAGAATCGAGCGATTCCGACTCCGAAATCATTAACCCCTTCACTCACCCCCTGGTGTTTGGAAATCCCATTGTGCTGAGTTCTTCTCCCATGCCTAGAAATAAGTACTCACTTGGAAGCCTTCAGCTTGATGAGGAGGTAGAGGAGGATGTGTCTGTTGGCCTCAGTGATGAAGATGGTGTGCAGGTCTTCAGTTGCTAGGGACCCAGGCATATGAGACCAGCGGATACTGTGATTGCTCATTAGAGCGATTGCATCTTCTGGGGCTCGTGAAGAGTGGCTGGTAATAATTTCCACGCATGGGCTATTTCAAATGTTATCATTGTACTGACCAGCCAGAGGGAAGGGATGCTAGAAATACAATTATAAGGATAAGTCTCAGTGAAGCTTAACAGTAATGCATCTCCTCTGAAAGACAGGAGGAGAGGAAAATTATTACTGATTTAGGTACCTTTGTAAGACTTTATACACTCACCTGTTCTTTGTATGAAGTCATATTTTAGGTATATATTGTAGCTTCTTTGACACTTGACTAGTTATGTTGATGAAACAAACAAAAATGAAATTAAGTAGGTACGTTGTGCTCTTTTGTATGTCTATTACAATTTTTTTTCTCTCCTGTATAAGGAGAGCAACTTACGAGTGCCTCAACAGAGTTAGGGGAAAAAAATTAAACTTACGGCCAAATGCAGGCAGCTTGATATTCAAGACCAAGACTCACTGAAATCTTGAAATATGCTGGAAAATCTTTTCATAGCAAGAATGTGTTTGGTCTACTCATCTTCATAACCCATTTTATAATCTTAACTGATGAACTGAGGATACAAATTAGGCATGTATACAGGAACAATGACAGTATTGGCTTTTTCTTCAGTGGGTTCAACAGGCTGATTTGGTAATGGAGATTTTGAAACTCCAGACTCTTCTTGACCAGGAAAGCAAACAAGATGAAAGATACAATTCAAGTGAAAAAAACTTAGATTGAAACAGCTCTAATGAAGAGTGGTATGCATATTACTTGCAAGGCAATCCTTTCTATCCTTTATCAGCGTGGTATAAAGATTAATTGCAAGAGATTTTTTCCCCTTATGCTTTCAGTGGAATTATTCACAGAAACATCAAAGTTCTGTTGTGGGTGATTTTTGGTGGGGGGTTGGAGATGGTGGCTGTTTGATTTTATTTTTTGCTTTGATCATGAAAAATCTTTATCTGTACGGGATCCAATTAGTCTGTCGTAGGCTATTTTTTTGAGTGCCACCTCATAAATTTTTCATCCCCTGACACAGAGAATGATGGGACTAACTGTGGTCCAGGCTGATTGTCTTCTGTACGGTACATAGAGTAGCGAGATTCTGGCACACGTACAGAAGGACAGAGAGAGTAATTCTTTGTAAATTTCCTTCTCGTAGGCTAAAAGTATTGAGAATTAAGGCTGTATACTAATAAAGTCTGATTCTAGTTTCTCCGAGTTGATTAAGAAAATCCAGATGAAAGGTCTCCTGACGAGATGTGCTCTTTAACACTGGCCTTAATTTTAACTTTTATATATTTTTCTTGTGGGGGAAGGGAACGGAATTTGAGAATTTTAAGTGATGAACAACAGCATTGACTGAACTGCAGGTCACTTGCAGTGATCTGCATCATGCAGTACATGCATGCAGCAATGATGAATCCGCCCACATAAGTACTGATGAACAAGTTACAGGACTTTTTAAATCTAGACAATATAAAATTTTCAAGATTGTTTTTACAGAAATAATGAAATAAGTCTTTTTAATTTCTCTAATGCCTTGGTCTATGCACATTTTAACAGAGTTTAATCTAAGTGAAGGATATTTAAAAAGATACCTACAGTAGTTAGGCATGTCTTGTTATATACTTTACTTTTTTGCAGTAAAATATATCGTTGTGTAAATATAAGTTTTAACCTGCTCATCCCATTTAGTGTGTCGGTTTTCTTAAAGGTTAGATACCTCATTTTTGAACAGGAATGATTTAAAGCATCTCTTTAGACTGTGATATTTTGGTGACAGGGATTGCTCTCATTTGTTCCTGTAGTTTAAAGCATGAATCTAGAAACAGCGAGATTGATAATTAGAGAAAAGCTTGCTTGTATATCATTCTAAGAGAAAGTGGTTTGTGTTTTGAATGTAGAATAGCTGTAAAATAATTGCCTTGAACTTCTCAATATTTAAGATGAAATATAGGCAGTTGAAGCCAGCGTTAGCAGATAGCGTGAGCATGGGGAGTGGGTGCATGAGTCTCACTTTGATTTTTTTTTTGCTGCCTGTGCAGCAGAAGTACCAGTAGTTATATTATACAGTAAAGTAATAGCAATCTGGACAGGTGAGCTACTTGCTTTGTTAGCCAGTAAAATTAGAGTTCAAGTAATGGATTTTCAACAAAAGGATTTGCAGTCCTTTCTGCTACTTAAGAAAAGTGGATAGATTTCATGTTGTTTGGATTTAAGCGAATATAAAATTTTATAAGTGATGTTTACTATTTTGCATCCTTTTGAATACTGTTTTCAGGCCTGATTTCTTCTCTCGTATGCCTACAAAGATAATGGATTTATAATTTTACAAGAACAGACCTGCTGGTAGCTGGAGTTAGCTTAGTTGCCAATAAAGTATCTCAACAGCTTTTTTTTTCCTTTCGAATACTATTCTCAAAAATGAAATACGAGGATTTCTCTCCGACTATTTTCTATTATCTGGCTTTTTTTCAACTGTAAATGTTTAAGTGGTTGTCATTTTAACACATGTGGAATTCTTCCAGTTTGAAGAAAGAAAGTTTGTAAATTACATAGGAAATAATTTCATTTAGGATGAATCATTTTTTCAGCATTCTTATGCCACTGAAGTTCAGTTTAATATCAGTAGACAAGCATTTAATTAAAAACAGTCTGTGGGCCAAATTCCTCCACCAGACACGTGGTTCATATCTGGGCGCTTGCCAAGAATGACAAGTGAGAAAGCATTTTTAAATTTATGTTTTCACATAGGATCAGGTCCCTCAGAATTCATCTGAGAGTTTGTTTCTGTGAGACAAATACGGAAAGACCTCGGAGGAAAGAACACAAACCTTTGGGCAAGACTGTGGATGAGACGAGATGGGGAAATTATTGTCGTTCTAGTTCACAAAGCACACAGGGGAAGAAGAGCCCGTCGGTTCAAATTAGTCATTGAAGCACTGATTAATCTGCCTACCCTGGTCAACGGCAGTGGTCTAAGCATACCTGTATCTCAAGTCTAACAGAGGTAGCTGTAGACCAAGTAAAAGATTGATTCTCCCACCAGTTCCAGTAGATTTTGGAGTGTGGCTGATGGTACTTCAGATTCACTGTTCTAAATTTTTTTATTCACAAGGATTAACTTTTAAATCCCATGCCCTTGAAGTGCCCACATATCCTTAGGCAGTTGCTACAAATGAGGGAGCTGAATCCCAGCAAGATCGAGTAGCTATGTCTGCTCCAAATGATGAGTAGTCCTGAGCGACTCATCTTCTCTCCTTCCAGAGGACGTGGAGGAAGCCTCTTGTTGGGCTGCCCAGACGGCTTATCACTCTAAAAGCAGTTTAGGGGTTTGTCCCAAAATAATGTGCAGATGTGGTTTGCAACTTGGTCTATGGATAAAAGGCACTCTGATTCTCTCTTTGCTATTCCAAGTACTTGACAATGGTCAATCATCTGCTACAGTGAATGAAAAAAAATCATATCAGACAATTTTAAGTTTTCTCTAGCTCACCAGCAGCTCAAACGTTTTATGTCGTGTTGGGATCTTCTGGAGGTTTTTATTTTTCATATTAGCCTTTCCTAGAATCTAATTTTCCTCAGTGACCTGGGATATAAAATTTGGGAATAAATTTGGCTAGATGAAGGAAACATGGATAGTGACAAGTTGATGTGTAAGCTAAGACCTATGTAGGATATTGCAGGTATGAAGTTTTGAATAATTGATATCTGAATGGCCTAGACTGCACCGTTTTCGGTTTAAGTCCATATCCCCTAGCAAACATATTCCTTGTGCATGACCAAGAGAAGTGTTCTCTGGAGATGATTTTTGCCTAGTGCTGCCGTTGTCTCAATCACCCATAGCTCACAGGTCTGCCTAACACGTGCCATCCCATAAACCATTGTAGTGCACACTAAATACAAATTATATCAAAGAAAAACGGGAA